TCACTCTGCAGTATTATAATTAAATGAGGTTTGTAAAGTGCTTAGACCACTCCTAGCACACAGTAGATGCTCAGTAAATGTGAGATTTCTGATTCCTTTTTTGATGAATGCCAATATTCAATTAAAGTAAATTAACTGTGGGGCCTCCCCGGTGGCACACAGGTCGAGCGTTGGGTTCTGAAGCTGTTTGCAGCTTCTGCAGCGCCAGTTCGATCCCCGGCCGCAGCGAGGATCCCACATAGGCGCACAGACCTCTCCTGCCGCCCACTGCTCCCCTCAGCAGTGTACTTCATCACTCTGCCTGTTCTACTCTCCCTCTGGCTTGGTGAATTCTCTCACCCTCTTGCACCTCTGACTGTACCCAGTGCTTATAAAAATAAATAAATAAATAAATCTAAAAAAATAAAGTAAATTAACTGTTTTAAGTATTACATAAAAGGCCATTTTGGTTGGTGGGAGAGTATTAGTGCAGAGGATGAAATCAGTGGAGAAAGACAGGTCAAGAGTCTCAAGTAAAGAACTGTAGTTTGGACCTTGTTCTGGATACACAAGGAAGTTTTTGACCAAGAGAATCCTAAATAAAATTCACTGACCCCCTGCAGGAGACCACTCCCAAAGAGATAAGAGAGGATCAAGTGGTTAGCTCAGGGTCGATTCTCCCTGGAAAGAGACTAGCCAAGGTTATCTGGATCAGATTAAGCCTAGACTATAAAAGGTCAGAGGGTAAAAAAAGAATTTCCACCCAGAAGGAGAAATAACTTTGGAGATTGAAATCTGTCTTTAAACAACTGTTTTAATAATTGAAATAATCTCATTATCAAATGGAAATTGAGTCTAAAAAAAAAAAGAATAGAAAAGAAATGGTCTCCTCTTATAAGCAAAACGCTGATTTGAACACCAGGGTGTGGCAAATGTATTCAGCTAGAAAATGGTGCTGGAAGGTCTCAGCTGCCTTGAGGATCTCAAAAATCCCTGGAGAAGACTGGAAAAATATGAAATTATAATACAGAGAGCGTTGTGCTAAGATATACTTCTATCTATCCACAGGGAAGGATGACTCATATCAGAGAATGGCTCCTAAGCCTGCCTAGAGTGGGGCAAAGTCTTCCTGGAAGAGGTGAGACCCACAGGGCCAAGGGAAAAACTGTTCCATGCAGAGAACAACATTTACAAGTAGTCACCAACTCCAGTAATGCCAACCTGTTTTCCCTTACCCTGAAACTGTTATAGGACAGGGAGAGGGGTAGCCCAAGCCCCGCAAACCTGCCTATTCTAAATAGGTTCTGCCATCCGCCGCATCAACACAAAACACAGGAGACTTTAATGGGAAGGAACTTTAATAAAACTAGGAAACAATACAGGTAAGGCAAAGAGTCTAGTTTCTAAATGAAGCACCCAAAGTTACCCGTCCCCTCGTGGGTAAAAGTCCATCCATATGGGATTGGCCCAGAACAAGGCCCCAAAGCCTGCCATGAGTCTAAAGCATCTTCCAGTGGGGACCCACAGAAAAGGGTCACAAACAACCAGACAAGCCCGGAAGGAAAAGAGCAAAATCAACATCAAGATAAAAGCTGCCATTGTCACCTCCCCATGGGTCTCACCCACGTCTGTGTCACCCAGTCTGTTATAGGACAGGGGCAGGGAACCTCCCCCTTTCCTGGAGACCACCCTGTTACAAGTCCACAACCCAAAGACAAGCGCAGTTTCTTCACGTGTCTCTAGGCTCCATGGGCCTCCTCCAGGTCTCCTGGCTCCATCCTGCTTCCTTCCTCAGTCTCTTCTGCAGCTTCTCCTCTTCCTGCTCAGCTCCACCCTTCCTTGGGTGGGGCAGGGAACCTGGAACCTCCCCCTTTCCTGGGGACCACCCTGTTACAAAACCTTCAGGTGAACCAAAGCTCATTGAGGACAGGAAGATTATAAACTCCAGGCTTTAGGTGTTGCTCTGTATGTTTCACAATTAAGTATTTTTAAAATAAAAAATTAACCAAGTGCTGGGCCTCCCTGGTGGCACAGGAGTTAAGGTCTTGGTGCTATGAAGCTATTGGCACAGTTTGATCCCCAGACAGGTTGCTGACCCACATGGCACAGCAGACCTCTCCTGTCTCGCCCGCTGACACTCTCAGCAGTATTTTTCAGTGGATCTGCCCATTCTGCTCCCCACTCTGTCTCTGGTGTATCCTTTCACACAGACTCCTGCCCCGGCACCTCTGGCCTGCACCCCAGCTCTTGTTTGCATAAATAAATCCTTTTTAAAAATTAAGAAAACACAAAGAAGAAAGAAGGCAGAGAGGGAGAGTGGGTATACCAGAAGAAAGTAAGAAGGGAAAGGAGAGAAGGTAGGCAAATTGTACCCCAGCTGAAAGTGCAGCAGGTAGTTTCAAGCTACACACACACACATACACACACAATATCAAACCAATGCAAGTGAGATCAAAGAGAAATGGTAGCAGACTTGTTTCATAGAATAGATTCCAACTCACAACTCCTTGCATAGCTTTGGGTGTGTTATACAACTTCTTGGTTCTCTTACCAATAATTGTAGTCAGGGCCTCACCTCAGCGCCAGTAACAGAGCAGCTACCCTCCACTCAGCCCTCACTAGCAGCAAGCACTCTTCCATGCACTTCACACTGAAACATTTGAGCCACACATCAGCCTTATGAAGCTGGTATTAACAACCCTGATTTGCTGGTGTGTAAATTAAGGCACAGAGCAGCTATGAAGCACACCCCGGAACACAAGTTTGGAGAAGATGGAAACTGGATGGGTACCCAGTCTGGATCTAGAGAAAAATCAAGGACCAAGCACAGACCCCTGGATCTGTGGTTGATTCTGGGTTACAGTGTATTGATAAAGTTTTAAAAAACACAGAGTAATATTTCCCCAAGTGTTGCACAGCAGTTGGAGTGATTGGTACCGCCTTGAAGTGCTGTCCTCACACTCAGCCACATCACATTGGTCTTTACAGAGAGGTTGGGGTGGATTTGGTATCTAACTTTCAGAGCCCCTGTGGGAGCCCCTACATGCAAACCCCAACCTTTACCCCACATCAGCATGTTCATCCTTTTTCCCTTTTGCCTGAGTCTGAGAATACTCAGATAAGAACTGCCCCTTCCCCAGCCTGAGCCACAAACTAGCCAGGTACCCAAAGGCCACTCACCTTGAGGGCTTGTCCATCTCCTCTCTTGAGGTTTCGAGGCCGGGACTGCTTGTTTTGCTTCATTCTGTCCTGGCATCTGGTCTAGCACCGTACACAAGACTGCTTAATAGGGCAGCAGAATCCCCTGGCGTCTCAACACATCAGAGAAGCACCAACCCAGCCAGCTAATTGCCAAGTGTCTCACCATGGTGACTTGTACCCATTCTAGCCCAATGGCATCTAAAAACAGTTTCTCCTCCTTCATTCCAAGTCTAGGCTCTCCTCTTTAGGAACCTGATCTTAAGGCACACAACTAGTCACCGTGATAACATTACATGTGAAGAAACTGAGGCTCAACTGACACCAGATGAATCCCATCTGGTACATCTTTCTTCCTCTGCTTGCACTGAAGTTTTAACCCTATAGTGAGTTAGAGAGGGTCATTGGCTCCTTTGTCCTGACCAAAGACTGGAAAGGTAGTGAAATGAAGATCATGGTGTGAGCTCTGAACTCCGGCCAAATGGCCTGGCAAACCAAGAAATGGAAATATTGGAGGGAGTTGGCATTGTTAGGCTTAGATTAAGTAAGGGCACAAGCCCCCCAAAGTGCCATTACCTTAGGCAGCCCTGTTAGAATCCTGGAGGCACTCCCTGCACCCTCATTGGGCCCTAAATGCCCTTGAGAAATGTGACAACTTGGGAGCCCTAGAACCAGGTGTGGGTGAATCCCAGAGGCACAGGAACTGGGAGCATCAGCCCTGGGATTCTTGAGTGCTTAATGATCTTGATAGCTACCCAAGAGCTTTAAGAAAGTCTGAACGTGACTGTTCCAGACATCAGCCTTTAAATGAAAATAAACACGCAGGTCAAGGTTTGGGAAGCAAGGTTTGGAAATGCATTCACTAGCCGAGGGTGGACAGATGCAAATTCTGGATGGAGGGCCCAGCAGATTCCTTAAAAAAAAAACCTGGCAGGGGGCCTCCCTGGTGGCACAGGCAGGTGAGCGCAAGGCACTTTGAAGCTGTCAGTGCCGGTTAGATCCCTGGCGGCCTCCAAGCAACCTGCATGGCGAGCAGACCTCTCCTGTCTCGCCTGCAGCTCCCCTCAGCAGTGCTTTTGGTCTGTCTGCCTGTTCTGCTCCCCCCTCTATCTCTGGTGAATCCTCTCACCCTCCCGCGCATCTGAACTGTACCCTGGCTCTTGTATGTTTTTTTTTTTTTAAAAAAAAAAAAAAAAAAGCCTCCCAGGGTTGAGGCCTCCCTAGTGGCACAGGGGTTAAAATCTCAGCACTATCAAGCATGAGTTCTATCCCAGATCCCCAGCCAGGGAGCTAACCCATATGGTGCAGCAAACCTCTCCTGTCTTGGCCACTACTCCCCTCCTCAGCAGTGGATTTCAGTGGATTTGCCTGTTCTGCCCACTGTCTCTGGTGACTACTCTCACCATCTTCACCTCTGGCCTACCTCCCTGGTGGGGCAAACAGCACTATGAACCTATTCACAGATCCCAGGCAGGTGAGGGAGGTACCCACATGGCACAGCAGACCTCTCCAGTCTCACCTGCTACTCCCTTTTTCATCAGTAGATCTGCCTGTTCTGCTCCCCGCTGTCTCTGGTGAATCTTCTCAAACCCACCCCACCCACCCACCCCGCACATCTGGCCTGTACCCCAGCTCTTGTATGCATAAATAAAACTTTTTTTAAAAAAATAGCCTCCCAGGGGAAGGTCATCTACAGTTCAGGTGGCCTGGAGACAGACACATAAATAGTACACTTCCACCACCCACCTTCCCACCTTAGCCTGGTCCTCCCACACACCACCCATCTGACCTGCAAAAGAACAAAAGGGACAACAGACTGTTAGAGAAATACTGATTTTAATTCAACATAAGGTAAACTTTAGGCATCCGTCATCTCTCAGCCTAAAAATTAGCAAAACTGTTGAGACAAGGCACAATTTTTCCCCATATTTGTTACGTGGCTCCAGTTACAAAAAACTTTTTATGAAAATGTTTAAACATAAAAATAGAAGTCTGAGTTAAAAAAAAATATGTAAAAAAAACTCCACGAAACTTGACTTTGTTCCTTATTGTACAAAATAGCACCAGTAAGAGTAAAAGGTGTTAAAACCATTACAGCAGCATTTCTGAAATGCAGCTTGTCCGACCTCCCATGCCCCTTAAAAACAACATCGTGGAATATAAAAGGATTTTAAAATCTCTGGAGGGATGGTCGGCTTTTATTGCAGTTTTCCCCCTACAATCTCTTAGATGAGGGGAAAGTGCGAGGAATGTGCTTCTGGCCCTGGCTGTCACTGCTTCTCAGTTTAGAAAAAGGCTGAGGAATTAGGATGTCATAATTTGGGGACCTGTGCCTGGAGGTCTGGAGGGTGCCTTGTAGGGGGGTAGGGGGTGGGGAGGGGTCCTTATCTAAGCCTCCTTCACTCCAAGTCACTTGGGGAAGGAGACAATGAGAAGCCACACCCATCTATTGTATAACACCTGGCATCTCCTACCACCCCACCCCACCCCTTCCTGAGCTCCCCAGAGGGGTCTATTGCAGTCACTGGGAGGGTTTCAGCTAAGAGTGGCCCTGACCTTCTATCTGGGGGAAGAAATAGCCCTGAATGTGATGATGACATCATCCCTGCTGAAATCATCATCACTGTGGAAACGCCTCTCAATGGGGCTGGACATTGCATCGCAGCCCTTTATACTGAGGCAAGGGGAACTACTTGAGGGAAATTCAAGGCAGACATAGACATCATTTCCTCTTCTGCTCGCCCCAGGAAAAAAAGCATCCTGGGTCTGAAGTTGTTCCTTTACCGGTTACTACTGCCTGCTCCAGGAAACAAGGGGTCGCAGACATTTAAAAAATGCAGACATTTTAAAAAACTTAAAGTCTTGCAATAACTGTCTTGGTTGACTTTTTCAGCGTGAACCTGAGTGCTGGAGAGCTGTCGGCACTGTGGTTTTGGTATCTTAGCCATCGTGACTGAGCAGTAAAACCCGGGAGGGAAAAAAAAGCCATCTTACTACCTACTTCAAGTTTTAAAGTTTTAGAAGACAAAATGAGCACCATGTCTGGCTGCTCCAAGCAGCCAGGTCTGAGTTGTGCACAAGGAGGTGGCACCTCGGCCGCCCCGGCCAGGATGGACACAGGGCGCTTGCTCCCATGTGACACCACACAGCTGAGCTGACGAAAGGCGTGGCCCAGGCGGCACCTCCTGGGTACTGGCTTGCCCTGGCACACCCAGGGCCCCAGGCACCCCTGCCTGCCTGGGCAACTATTCACAGGCAAAGTAGTCCTTCAGGGGGGCGAAGAGGTGTCGGATGACTGGCACACTCCAGGACCTCCCGAGCAGCTTCTGGCGGGCACCGCGACCCATGTTGGACACATCAGTGTAGTGTACGGGAAAGCCGAAGATCCTGGGGGGAGGGGCACCAGAGTAAAAAGATAGAAAGTCAGAAGTGCCCCCTCCAACAGGCTGAGGGCTCTCTGGGAGATGTTCACCACAGCCAGCAGAGTGCTGCTCGCTACCCAGCATTCTGTCCCGCCAAGCCTTTTGCATGAGCCCTCTCTGCAAGCCCAGCCAGGTCAAGTCCTCCGGTTCTTCAGAACACAGGTGACTGTCCCGAGGGCACCTGTTCTGGGCATCCCCGGGCACTAGCACCACACACCCTATTCAGTGGATATCTCTCCAATGAAAAAATGATAAGACACATATAGCCAGTCACAGGACAGACATGTATCTGTCTTCAAACCGCAAGATGGAGAAGTTAGGGAATTTCCTTAATTAAAAATAAGGACTCTTGCAAAAAGAGACCTTTTTAATCATCAAATGCTCAGGTAACTTACTGGGAGTACACTGAAGCAGCCTGCATTTTCTTTTCCTTTTCAAACCCAGTTGGGTGGCTTAAGAGGCACACTGGACTTCCTGGCAGATGGCAAGCAAATATGCCAAGAGCCTGCTCTGTGAGCTTCTCCCAGGCCTGGTGAAGAGGCTTTGGAGGTACTGGGCCTGCTACTTTTCCATGTTCACAGTTAATATTAAAAGTCACACCAATGGGCCAACAGCTGAGTGGGTGTTAAGAGACACACCAAAGATGCAAAGCCTGGGGCTGGTGTCCGACTTTGTCTACGTGACAGGCACCAGCCAAGCCTAGAATCCCAGGTCCAACCCTAAATTAGGCTTGGGCCTTCAAATACAGAATAAGCCACAGCATGAGTGGGGGCAAGGTTACACACCAGTTTCTTCCTACTAATCAGACCTTATTTTTGATACCTAAAACTGTTTAAGGCTAAGAAATAAAATTGGTTACAGAACTGAAACATCTGGAATGAAAATACTCTGTCAAATCCTTCGAGGCATATCCATAAATGTGAATATTCATAGCCCTCAATAACATTTCTGGCAAGAAAAGTAAGAACAAAATAAGAAAAACAAAAAGTGAGGGAAAAAATAGAAACCAGAGTAGGAGAACTGAATCTACGAGCTGGTTCTTTGAATCAAATATCTACAATGTACTTAGCCCAATAAATTGAGGTGGGGAAAGACAGATAGACTATGGCTAAGCAGGTATCATTGGTAGAATGAGCAACTTGGCAAAAGGAATCTTCTGAGAAAGAGCAATGGCATGTCAGTGGGGTTTTCTTTCGTTGCTTCCTCTTAACATCCCAGGGTCCCCAGCACGTCAGGGCAGGCACGGGCCAGGACAGTGCAGCCAACAGTGTTGTCGGATGACTTCATGTGCCAGACTCCTCATCACCACCACCAACACCACCACCCTTCTACCATTTCTACCAGGAAATAAGACCAACTTCGAAAGGGTAGAACTCCCAGTTCTGCAAGCAGGCAAGGGAGACCGTGTATTAGGCAGGCAAGCACCTGCCCGGTCAAGCGGCTGTGTCTTCTCCACATGTTCTTCCCCTTTCTCTCTATCTGCATGGTTTCCCTCTCCATGGGCAGCCTTGCTCACCTTTCTAGCTCAGTGCACCACAAAACATCTTCTTTGCCATTCATGACAACAGGGAAAAGTTGGTTTTTCCCCTGTTTGATCGAGTTCGACTTGGTGGTTATTGTCTGTACTTTCTTTAACTGGAGAACAAAACGACATCATGGAGTGAGCACAGAATGAAGGGCAGAGTGGCGGGGCTCAGGAGTGCTGTGGGGAGACGGAGGCAGGCAGGGCCGTGGGGGAGAAGCAGTCGCAGACTGGTCTGACAGAGGGATTGTGAGCAGACATGGAAGGATAAGAACATTCTGCGCTTCCCACAAAAGCCATGAAATTAAAGGACAGGAAGGATTAGCCTCAGTGAGAGCAAAAGATACAGTGACCATGAAGGAGATCACAAGGGGCCAAGAAAACAGTTACTGATCAAGCAGGATCAAGCAAAAAAGTAAAAATCCACCCAAATTCTAGCTGGTGAACTGGGGTTTGGATGAATGGAGCCTCACTTGTATAAACACTGAGAATTTTATGAAGGTCATTATTGTTACTTTGTGGGGGGCATAGGTATTAACTACTCATTCATTACTCATGTCTTACTGAGAGGACTGGCTGAAATGACTCTGGAGTGTGCTTTCACAACTGGAAAGTCCGGTTGCCTTTTCGTAGGGATTATTTGTTCCTCGAGACCCTCTCCTCCTCTATGCACTTAAAGATGGGGCAGAATGTTTATGTAGGGAAAGACCCAGCACCCGGGAGTTATGTGGGGAAAGGGGCAGAACAACTGGACACCAAGATCAAGTCCCAGCTTGGAAGTCACCAAGTGCATTTCCCAGAAGGTTGCAGTACAGACCGTTGGTGAGCACATCTTACCTTTGCTGTCCTATTGAACTCCAAGCAGTCCTGCAGCTCGAGTTTATCATTCTTTGATGCTATCACGGGCCTGGGAACAGCCAAAACCCATTACTTTCTACCATCTGTAAAGGGGCCTCAGCTAGGGCCTTGCAAAGTGGGAATAAGGACATAAAGCTGCAAAATGCACTCTGGCAGTGAACTTGTTACAAATACATGATGAAAATGACTCTGGCATAGCCTGTTATGTGGTGGCCAGGGATTGACCAGCCCCTTGAAGAGGGCAAGCCCAATGTCCAGGAGGAGCAAATGCTCCCCCATCCCAAATTTAATATTAGCCTAGCACTACCATTGAGGAGAGTGGGGAAGACATGGGGGCAGAAGAGGGCTATGTATACACTGAAAGGGGTCAGGACAACCCTCAATCCCAGCCACACTGTGACTCCTGGCTGTGCAATGACCTTCAACAAGGTATGGAGCTCCTGTCTCAGCTTTATGTCTCTCTACCTGATACAATGTGAGTATCCAGTTCATCACTTGGTGGCTCACTTCTGAGGGTATAGCCTCAGGTTTGAAGGACCAAGTGGGTCAACACGTAGGTAGGACAGGAGGTAGTGCACAAAAGGATTAACTGCCCTGTAACTTTCACCACTGAAATCTGCAAATGCAAAGAAGCAAACAGATGCCAGAAGAGGTGAAGGAATAGAACATTTAGGGACCAAGCAATTCCAAAACTAAGAGCAGAAAAGCAGCAAGAGGTCTGAATGCAGAGTAGATGAAACCCACAGCCATCCCTGACAATAAGAAATTTCCAGGTCAAAAACAAATGAGATGAAACCCTGACCCCAAAGGGGGCAGTGAAAGTCACACAAAATGTTTCCCTAGATTCTGTCCTTGACTTTCCCCTTTCAGGATTCAAATGTGTTACCCTGTGCCCATCAGCACCTCCTTCCATGAACCCCAGGGAGTTAAGGGACCCAGGGGACACAGAATAGGCCTACTGTGTGTTGACAAGGATTGACCTTTAAACACACCAAGGTTTTCAAATAAAGGCTGGATGTGGGTCTACAGCCTGATGGATGCAGCAGCCACCCTCTGAGAGCCTCTCAGAACCCAGCTGTGGAGACTCATTTCTTAAATCAGACAGAAAAGCTGTCTTCCCTGATCCTTTTCATGTCGTACTCTGCCCACATCCAGTGCATCAGCAAATCCTTTTAAGTCCTAGAATCAGATTCCTTCTTTGCTAAATGCACAGAAATCTCCAAACCCAGGAGGCACCGCCTGCCCTGTTTTACAAGTGTGTGTCATGCTCCCTCCCAGGGCACAGTCAGCCAGCCTCCTTCCCTCAACAAATGCCTCACTGGTCTCCCTGTTTCTGGCCTCATCCTATCCAATCTTTCGCCTACCAGAAACTACCATGAACTGAAGACACAACTCGTCTGCTTAAACCTCCTGTGAATTCCCAGCCACCGGCCCCATCACGTGGCGCACGCTTTCCAAGTTCTGTCTTCTTCCCCCATTGTTCCCACCCAGAACACAGTTCTCTGACTTGGTGTGCAAGTGCCAGGTCACCTGTCACCCTTCTCCCTTCAACCTAGGATGCTCTCCTTTCTAAGAATGCAGGCCCTGTCTTTGGAGGCCTGCTGGAATAAAAACTCCCCAACCCCAAGTCATGACCCAGAGATCATTCACTGTATTTTTCTGAGCTCCTCCCCCATTACGTGTCAGCCCCCTAAGCAGGCCTAGCACTGATGTGCTCATCACTGAACTGGCAACTGTGACAACAATTCCTGTCACAGGGAGGACTTAAGTGCTCAGTGAATGAATGCACCAGTTTCACCCCAGACATGGCTATATAACTCTCCAACTGGCTGATGAACCAAGCAAAAATGCAAGCTACCCAAAGATACCCTCCACGCTATTCTAGTATGTTCTCACCTCTGTCCTCACTTTGCTAAATGCCAGAAAATTATGTTTCCAACACGTCCTTCTGAAGGCTAATTTTTCTAAGATTAACTCATTTAGAAGTCTGGGATGTCACATCACCCTCACATTTTGTATCTTAATGAGGTTGCTCTCACCAAAACCATATAGGAAATAATTCTCAGCAAAGCCACTTCGTGGTGTTCACCATGAAAGGCTGACAAAAACATGGGGAAGCTCTTGATTAAGAAAATGAGGACGAGAGCTTTTTGGCTATAAATCGTCTCCCCAACTCTTTCATGGTTTGGTCACCACAGGCGTGCCCCAGGGGCAGAGAACAAAGGCACCTCAGACAATCCCACTACATAGGACAACTGACAAAGGGGGGTTGTGGAAGCATGAGCACCCCTGGCTTTAAAAGCATCTGCTCCAGACATGGTACTTTAAGAAACAGGCCAGAAGCGAGTGGAAACAAGTGAGTCCACCGAGGAATCCTGGCCTGGGGGTCCCACGCAGTTCCAGCACATCCTAAAAGACATCAACCCACAACACCAGGGGGTGCTCTGAAGCCCAGAAGGAGGCCATTATTCAGCAGAGCCATTTCCTTCTAAAAAGCTTGAACAAGACTGTGCCATCCGAGTCCATGATCAGGTCGACATTGGCTGTGTTTAACTTAGCTATTATTACCTGTCCCACTCTGAGCCCGTGTTACCTGTTCATCCCAGGTAGGTTGCCCCAGAAGTATCGGGCCCTGTGAGCAGCAGATACTTTGATGGCATCGATCATGACTGGATTGCACTGCCAAGAGAGAAGGGGCCCACTCATTATTCAGGGCAGTAGACAGAATGGACTTCACCTGGGTCAGGACAGGACCGTCCACTGGCTGTGGAGGCGACATGGCTCCTGACGGAGGAGGACGACTGGCCCCAACAAGGATCTAGCTGAGGAAAAGCTCGAGCGGGGCAAGACCAGATCAGACATGCAGGTTCTGAGACACGACATCCCCTGGGGCAAGCCAGATGATGACAGAACGTGCAACGTGAAGGTGGCAAAAGAATCTCCTCTTTCAAATCTGTAAAGTCTGCTATGGAAATGCAATGCTGGCAAAATGTGGCTTGTGCCACCCATTTGGTAGCAAGAAGGAACTAAGATCTATAATCTGTTAGAGCAGAACTTGAGCTATAAAACTTAGGGGAAAATTAAGTGAGTGAAGGGCATTAAAACTATTTATGACAGTGCTTGAAGTGTAAAATTAAGCAGTGCCAGTGACTGTAAGTATGCAGCTCTCAGAATAAAAATGAGAGGAAACTGTTAAGAGCCAGGGGGCCTCACTGGTGGGGCACAAGGGTTCAAGTCTCAGTGCTACAAAGCTATTGCCAGCCACTATGGCATGAGTTCAATCCCCGGCCAGGGAGCTGACCCACATGGCGCAGCAGATCTCGCCTATCTTATCCACACTGCTCCCCTCAGCAGTGTATTTCGGTGGATCTGCCTATTCTGCTCCACGCTCTGTCTCTGGTGAATTCTCTCACCATCCTGCACCTCTGGCCTGCACCCCAGTTCTTGTATGCTTAAGTAAATAAAAATAAATCTTTAAAAAAGTATAAGAGCTAAATTTTATGATGCCTCCAAAAGTAGTTATGGTATCATCATCTTGACTTCAACGTTGAGGGTAAAGTTAGAGATCAAATATTTTTCATTTACTAACCACCCACTGATTCCGCTGCACTTGGAATAAGTCATACTTTTGTCAAGAACTTGGAAATTCCCAACATTGGCAACACCCACCTCTCCAACCCTCATACCCAGCAGGGCCTTTCCCCACCCAGGCTGTCTTGACAAGCAGGATCCCCAGGTCCCCTCACCTCCAGGAATCGTGAGATGTCCCTCTTGTCACCGACCTTCATGGCTACCACATTCTCAAACATCCAAAAGAAGGGTCGGTCATCACCCTCCTTGGGGCGTGTGTAATTCAGCAGGTGGTAAAATTCAAAGAAGAGCCGGCCAGTGCCCTCTGAGGTCACAAAAAGAAGATCACAGAACATGTTCAAACCCTTCAGCCCACCCTCCCCTCCACATTGAGAACAATGGGTTTCTACTAACCACTGAGACTGATGGTCCAGTTTACTCAGGGATAACTTAAGGATGTCAGCACCAGCGGTGTGACATTTACCAGGAGGATCTCATTGACAGAGGAATCGCAATGGGGCATGCACAGCGCTGACAGGGTAAGACTGGCCAGAGGCAAAGCAGCACCTTCTCAGGCTGCTGCACTTGGAACATGTCAGCTGACTTGGGGTCTCTTGGGACCATCAGAAAGAAGGTATGCTCACCATACAGGCCCTTCCTGGCAGGATTCACATTTGAGAGATCATTACATGGGCTCCCACCAATCACCAAGTCGAAGGGGCCCCATTCTTCAATCTGTAAGAAAAGAGCAGTCACACTTCAAGGAGGGCAGGGGGTGAGGATGGCGACATGCTGAGCTTATCACTTCTAGAATTCTGCTTGGCCACGCAAGTCCTCCATCTGTTTCTGATGCAAGACAGTACAGTGCTCAGGGTTCTAAGATGTAATCAAGCTGAATGGTTTGCACACGTGTGGGTCTTGGTACAAGAGCTTGATGTGACCACAGGTTCTCCCTCCAAGCCCCCGGGCATGAGAGGATGACATAGTCCTGAGGATATGGGGGAATTCTGAAATTCTGGAGGCAGAAGAGGGAGGGGGGTTCTGGAGAGCCCCAAATGCGCACAGGCTGCCCTCACATTTTTCTTTGTGATGTTCCTGACATCATTCACGTATTTGATGTTGCCTTCATGTTTAACGGTTCCAACAGCAATGGACTCTTCACAGACTTCGGAGGCGATGTACTTCTCCACTTTAATGCCCAATTCTCTAAGGACCAAGTATCCTATGGGGAGTCAGGGAGACAGAATATGAATCTAGGGTCCTTCTGTATAGACCCCTCCCTCTAGTGATCTAAACCATCTTGAGGACTCAGACCCAGCAAAGACATGAGGATGTGAATCCCAGCAGAGGGCACAGAAATTGTCATCGTGGACACACTGAGCTCTCCAGAGTGCAGTTTTATAATGAAAATCATTCAAATGGTATAGACCCCACTGGGGAAATCCGTCGAAAGTGAAAGGTGCACAGCCAATGTCCAGCCTCCATCAGGACACACACATGGACATGGATCTTTAACAAAACTCTGATTAGGCAAGAACCCTAAGGTCTGGAGGGAATGAGGACTCGGTTTTACTATTTATTACCTGATGACACAGAGGTCAGAGTGGGGAGAATAAGCAGTGGCCATGACAGTAATTAAAGTGGGCAGTAATTAAAGTGGCAAATGCTTCAGGTAGGTGGACACTGGTGCACACACACAAACACAAATGATAAGTGTTTAGCAGTTCATTCCCACACTTCCTGCTCTGGTGAAACGGCTTCTCTAATGATCTGTCACAGTCCCCAGGACTGAACAAGGTAAACTCCACAAAGTCCCAAGGGGCAGAGACATGCATGGCTTCTGTGCTGCTTCTCTCCATGGAGAACCCTCAGGGAATGGGCACAAAGACTGGAGATGCTAGCGGAGTTGCTTCACTAACCTCCACTATCTCTATGCTTAAGGAATGAAGAATAATTTTCCTAGAAACCGACACAAATGAAATCAAATGGCTAAGACAAACATGCCTTTAAAGGGATCCAGAGGGTCAGGTGGGTGAAATGGGAGTTTTGAGAGATACAAGGAGTGTAAGGTTTTCTGAGAACAGGTGACAAACAGATAATCTCAGGGGTCTTTCTGATCATTGAGGATAAACACCTGGAGCAGGTGAGCATCCTAAGTGAACTCCAGACTCACCTGTCGCAATTCCATCAAACAGGGACAAGACTCGAATAGGTCGCCTTCGGGCTGCAGGAATCGCGGGGTATAACTTGGGGGCCTCCTGCCAGGTTAAAGAAGGAGGTCATGGAGATCCAGGTGCAGAGGGAAGACTCGGCCTCTGCAGGAGGAGAGGGCTAACCTTCCTGAGGGAGCCCAGCCCTGCACTCGGCCATTTCGGGACGGTCACCTTCATAGGAGCTCTGGAGAGTGAGCAGTCTGCCCTTTTTGACACGGAGCACAGGTGACACTGACACAGACGTGCACATGCACAGAGACATGTCCCCTTCCACAGCAGGGCTGCGGGCTCCCTCCGGGACTAGCCGGAAAGGAGCCCGGGAAGTCACTCCATTAAGATGTGAAGTGAGTTACTAACTTCCCTTTCTCCTTCTGTGTTACTAACTCAGAAGACTTGATTTTAGAACTACTTTTTCACTAGGCCCTTAAAAATCCTTGAGGCCAAGAGGAAGGGCTGAAGGAACACTGGAAGAGTGGCGAACTGCATGGGAGGTTTCTAGTCTGAGTCTCTCAGATGCTAATTTGTGTAATAGCTCTTTATTCCTAACTCTTGCCAACACACTTGGTTGCACTCCAGATCCCTGAAGACCAGGAAGAGGATGGTGCTGGGCCGAGGAGCCCATGGCTTACGTATTCGAGCCCCGGGTCACTGGTGAAGAAGGACTGCAGGCGCACGCTCCAGTCCTTGCGGCGACGCAGCACACCGTGGCAGCGCTGCGGGAGGCACATGTAGCAGCTCCAGGGCTCCTGCTGCTTCGCGTCCTCTGCCGTACCCGTGCCCACCAGCACCTCCAGGCACTCCACGCAGAAGCACCTACACGGACACAGGGAGAGGGAGGCTCTGTCACTGGTGCCTCCTGTGCACACCCTCCCCATAGATGTGTGTAAGCAACACTCGTGTCAGGTCCTGCGTTGCCCTTCCTCTTGGGCAGGAAGGTGTGTTCTGGGGGAATGCTAACCTCTTCTTTTCCTTCCCTACTGCGCATCCCCAGGACACACAGGACACAAGTTCTGCATAGAAAACTCTTCAGTCAACCTAGAATTGGCCCTTGTCCTGGGACATGCCCATCACTCCCTGTCCTCTCAGATTTAGCGCCTTAAGCCACCTCTACGAGCCCATACTTAGGGGAGGATGCAAGTTCCCAACAGAATCTGGTGCCCAGATCGGCCTGGCTCCGGCCTATGGGTGTCGTGGCCAGGGACACGGCAGATGCTCACCGGCAGCAGCTGGTATTGCTGCAGAGCAGCAGCTCACGGCCCTCGCAGCACACAGTACAGTAGGACTGGTAACCGTCATCATCGTACATGTAGAACAGCTCAAGGAAGCGGTCCTGCAGGCAGAAACACACCATGAAATCAGAGATCAGAGACCAGCGACCGCCAAGCCATGCTTGTTCGCTGGCTGAGGGCGAGGACACAGCCACGGACTGGTCATGGGCGACTTGGCACCCTTTTCAGGGACAAATGGCCGTGTTCTGTGCCTTGCTGTGGACAGCCCCCTCAGCTGCAGCACCTGCTCCTCCACCCTCTGCATGACAGGTGGTGGCAGGGGCCCGGGAAGGCCTCAGCAGAGCCAGTCTTGATGTCTATAGGCAGGTGTGTTGTTCAGTAGAAAGACAAGGGTATCACGGAGGAGGCGAGGGACTGTTAAGTCCAGGGTGGGGATAGGTAAGGACTTACCCGGCAAGTCTGGCAGAGCCCACCCTCAAAGAGAGGGTGGAAGGACACAGGGTTTTTCCTACCACAGGACAAACAGCTATCTGTAAGAAAGACAGGGAATGCCTGTGGCAACTCTAGGCCCACACCAGAAGCTGAAGCATTGTGTCTACAAGTCCTGACCCACTCTCCACACAAGCCACATCCAGTCTACTGTCTTCACTCTATGTCCCTCTCAACAATACTCTAGGTGGGGTTTCAACAATGAAATGTGGAGCCCAGCCCAGAACACGGCCTCCTCCAGCAGAGGCTGTTCTTGGAGGGCCTTACTTGAAAATCTTTGCTACTCTTGACAGCCCAGGACTTTGGGATTTTGCGGTCGGCACCAAATTTCTTGCTCATCATGAAACAACTTTTGACAACCCTCCACTGCCAGGGCAGCTAGTCCAGAACCTGCCTTCTCTCCCTATCAGGTCAGGACTTACTGCCAACACTGACCAGATCAGCAGGCCCTGTTGGTACGCAGCATCCCAGTCAGGCAAGAGGGGAAGGGAGAAATGAGTGCCCAGGTTTTCTAGATCACCAGGCACTGGTCCAAACCCAAGTTTTCCCCGTTTTCCAAGTTCCCCAAGTTTTCCAAGTGTTCTCTTCCCAAGTTAAAAGCTTCGTGGTTTGCCTGCCAGTCCTGAGCTACCACTCAGTAAGTGTAGGTAGACTAAAGGACAGCAAGATGAAGAAGCAGGGCCTCTCTGGTGGCACAGGGGTTAAAGACACAGTGCTATTCAGCTATTGCCAGCCACTGCAACAATATACTATCACAGCCTCTTGCAGCACAAGTTTGATCCCCCATCAGCAGGGAGCTAACCCACATGGCACAGCAGACCTCTCCCATCTAAGCCCACTGCTCCCCCAGCAGTGTATTTCAGTTGATCCGCCTGTTCTGTTCTCTACTCTGTCTCTGATAATCAACTCATCCCTGAACCTCTGGCCTATAGCCCTGCTCTTTTCTGCATAAATGAATAAATCCTTTAAGGAAAGAAAAAAAAAAAAAAGATGAAGAAAAGTTCTTCCTGGCGCATTCTGAATTCCATACACCTGAAGAGTTTTAATCCAGCAGGATTCCCAGGCAGGGCAGACTGGGCTGAGCTTGAGAGAAAGTAATGCCTAGTTTGTCTGCCTTCTACCTCAAAGCCAGTTGCAGTTTGTGCTGGGGTAGACTCGAGGGTGCCTCTGATCATGGTTTCATGGCTTGGGTTTTTTCCCAGCTAAGGTGTCCAGTTCACATACTGACTCTACCCAACCTCCATTCCACTTAGATTAAGGGACAAAATCAGTCTCAGCCAAAATTGGGTAACTCATATTGACTATAATGCCCACACCTCGACCTGAGGACAAGGAAGAGCTCTGTGTTAAACCTGGCAGGGCAGTCGAGGCTGGACAAGGCAGATCTGAGCACCACCTAGGACAAGGAGGGAGGACTTACGGGGAGAAGTATTACCTTCTAGGTTGCTCTTGTTGTTGGTAACATCTGAAGCCATTTGCTCTGTTGAGAAAAGAAGCTGTGAGCTGGGGCTCAGGGATACTCCCCTTCCCTGCGTGGCCCTCAGCATCTACCAAGCCAGGTAGGAGGGCAAGGGGTCCTTAGTGCCCTCAGTCGCCATAATCACCTCGACTCTGGTCTTCCTCTCCTCGGTCCTTGCCATTGTTATAACAGTTTGTCTTGAGGCGCTTGGGTGGGGGGCAGTACTCAGAGGTGGTTGAGTCATCCCCTGTGCGTCTTCGGGTCTTGTTCTCTGTGAAAGGAAAGAAGATGCCAGCAATGGGCGCTGGGGTGGCAGAGACCATGGGCCTAGGACGGTACCCAGCTGCAGCTGGGCAGGACGGGCCCATGCTGAGTGTCCTACAGTCCAACTACAGCCAAATCCCTGTCTCCTGCCCAGATATGTAGGCTTTTAAACAGCTTTTGAAATGTAGAAGAGTAACTTCTTGAAGACTCAGCGCAAAGAACATTAGACAAGCTGAATCTACAGCTGAAATCCTGCCTGCAAGGCAAGACATGCAGAGCCGACGGCCATGAGCAGCAACTGAGCACTTGACATGTGACTTTTGTGATGGAAGGACTTAATCTTCCATTTAATTTTACTGTGAATTTTAAATTGCCAACTGCTCTTAATTAGTTCGAGGAAACAAATTAGACAGTAACAATTTAGATCAAGTACTTCCAATGAAAATATAGCATCCAAATTGAGGTGTGTTGTAAGAGGAATAAAACAGATGAGATTGTGAAACTTTTAAAAAGGAACTATAAAATCTTAACTACGTCTCCTGACTATTGGAAATGCTAACATATTGGAAATACTGGATTGAAGTAAATGTAGGATTAATATTAACTCTGATTCTTTTACTCTTTAACGTGTTTGGAAAAATTTCAAATATGCAGCTGTTCATATTTTTATCAATTCCATTTGTATTTTTATTCAACGATACAGCATCATCTACAAGGGACATGGTTCAATTTGACTCTGGTCCTAGGAAAGAAAATGGTGCAGCCATTAAATTAAAAGAAAAAAATCACAAGAACACTTCAGTGAACAAATCTGAGATTATACTACTGAGAAACGAAGGGAAAGCAGGAATCCAACTCAGTGTCTATGAGAGCGGAAGAAGTGCACCCCAAGAAGGTCAAACTGAAGGCCACGTGAGGGCTGGGAGTGAAGGAGGGGTGAGTTCAGGCTGACTTTAACAGGTTGGATTTTGTTCAGTCACCAGGATATGCCCAGAAATTCAAAGTAAGTGCAGAGACAACAGAGCATAGTCAAAGGTGGAGGGGATACCGTGTTTCCTTGATTCTAAGCTCCCACTGCCTGCACGACGCAACTTCGACTTATTAAGCACTTTTTTGGGAGGAGAAACAAAATGAAACAGAAAATACTACGTTACAAATGTATGAACTTTCAGACAAATCTTGGGTTTCAGGCATTCCTGTTTCAGGAGGGACAATGTGCCCCACCGGTCTGTCTTCTAATGGAGGAAACATGGTATTGGTTCAAATATTAGGGTGGGTGACTGGGGTAGCTTTGTTTTGCAGTTTTATAAAGTACCTTCCACATTTTCCCCAATGAGAACTTTTTTCCTCTCAAAGAAAAAAAAATGCTAGGTACTGACAAGTGAACGGGCTAGGCTGTTTGTTTCACTAGAACCCTGAGAATTCCTAGGGCAAGTGAGGGCGTGTCCAGTGCTGACTGATGGCTAGAAGGCTGGGATGAGCTAAGGGGCAAGAGGGGCAGCAACTGCGTCTCCCAGGGGTGTGCCACCAGCTGACTCTTGCTGTTCTAACAGGGACGCATGCCCACCTGTTTGGTTGTTGTTGGGTTTGAGGCCCTCAACCCCGGTGGGTTTGAAGCCCCCATGTGCCCAATCGAGCATCGGCTTCAGTTGATCCTCCAGTGAGTCTCCAGGGCTACTGGGGAATGTCTTGCCAGCCCGCACCCTTGCTTTCTGCGAGATAAAGATGAGTCTGATTAACAGGAGGTTTGGGTGCTGAGCAGTCCACACGCAGGGATTCCCCCAGCTGGGGTGACACCCTTTTCACACTGGGCCCTTTCATAGCAGGCAGCTGTCTTAGACCCTGGCATATGAAGGGAAGAGGGGCCAATGCAGGAAGATGGGCAGGAGGCCTTGGAGAAAGAGTTAAGGCTGCAGGCACCAACGAACATCTCTTCCCTGAAAGGAAGTTGAATAGTCAGCTCCTCTCAAAGGCAGATCAAAATTAGTTGTCATTTTTTGATCTAAGAAAAGCTGCAACCAGCAGTTTGATCACCTCTCAGAATGCCCCTGATTTCTTATTCATTTCCCTAATTAACATGGATAGGTGTCATGTGATAAGTCCTATTATTACAAGCATCCTAACGATTAACATATCCAAATAAGCAAAGGACTCGAATGCTGGACAAAGGCCACTGGTCAACTCACATTAACATATATGGACGGGGCCTCCCTGGTGGCACAAGGGGTTAAGCACCTCACTATGGAGCAGTCCGCAGCCTCTGGGGCAGGAGTTCGATCCCCGGCCAGTCGACCAGGGAGCAGCAGCCCACATGGCGCAGCAGACCTCTCCTGGCTCACTTGCTGTTCCCCTCAGCAGTTTAGTCAGTCTGCCTATTCTATTCCCCACTCTCTCTCTAGTGGGTCCTCTCATCCCCGCATCTCTGGCCTGTGCCCATCTCTCGTGTGCATGAATAAATTTTTTTTTTAAAGATATATGGACGGACACAGCAAAATATATCTCAGAAGATATCAGGCCACCGCCAAGGAGAATAAAAACAGCTGGCCTCGCTGGTTGACCAGTCTTGACCCCAAACCACATTCCTCAAAGGAAGGAGGCTTTGAAGGCACTGGGCAAGAAATATTCACGGCTGTGCACCTTGTTACCCACTTGTCAGTTCTGGTATTCCACCAGATGGTAGTTGGGGGGGCCCTGGGATATCAGGGGGAAGGAATTCCCAAGTTTCAATTGGGCCTATCAGTTGCCTCCAATCTGATGACCCTGACCCCACCTTCTCCCAAGCCATCCTTGGCCACACGGTGAACTGGTGAGCTAAGCTGGCTTCTCTTACTGTAACTTTTCTCCAGTTAGCCCCTCACCACACACTTTTGCGTTACCTCCAGTGCATGATACATGGCCTTTCGGTAGGAAACCAGCTTATTGAAGGTCGCGAGGTTAAAGTGCTGGCTGAACAATCCCAGGGCCACGAGCTTATCTGCGCTGACCTAGAAGACAAAGTCACTGTCAACATCTACCTACAGTCTGTGCCTGGGTGTTGAGGGTCTCTCACAGGGTGATTCCTGGGGTTCAAGTTCATAGATTCAAAAGGGGAAAAAAGCAGTAAATTGATAATGGTACCAAAACTGCTGGTATACCACATAACCAGCACCACGGTGACCCTGCAACATAGGAAAGTGTGACCCTTGAAAAGGATACTATGTATTTATCTGTATTCTAGGAGTAAAAGACATGTAGTCACTGGTATGGCTTCTTTATGACTTGAATTTCATGGATGATTCTTCAAAATTGGGGATTGTGCACATGTTTCTCCTTCATGAACATGACAAATAGCAATCTTTGTGACCACCTATCTTTCATTAATTGAGCTAATTTAATGTGTGTTTAAACAACAGAGCTTTTTCACACTTAAGTAGCTATTTTGTTAAGTACATCTCTCAGTGTCTGAAGATCCATATTCTATAAATATTAGGCTCCTTGTCCCCAGGCCATGAATGAACTAATCGGACAGCCTTTGGGATGAGAGGAAAGTGGGTGTTCAGGGATGTTTATTGAACTGTCATGTGATGTTTTCTTCACTGCAATATGTGCTCACACTCATGCCAAGCTCCAAGTTGTACCTGGAAGCCTGACCTCCAATGACAGGGTGTATCCACCATTGAAGAAACCGGGGCTCAATGTTGTTGGGCACTGAAATACAGGTACTATCCCTGTGTCTCATGCATCAACTGAAGTAGTGCAAGAAGAAGTCACATCTTGTAACCACTACCCTAAAGGCCCCACCCTTTACCTTATTAGCATCAGACCCAGTCTTACAAAGCACATTTTATGTTTCACTGGGCCAAGGTAATTACAGGCAACCATGTTTTCATTTCACTGAAGCCTTTGCCCCATCTCTGCAATTAGCAGCACCAGGGCGAATGTGGGCCTGGGACTTATATCCTTCTGCTCCCTCTGCTGGCCAAAGAGGCCATTAGCATGCAGATTTAACCTAGCTACAGCTAGATTCCCTGTCATTCTCCTTGCCTCTTTGTGAACTTCAATGTATTTATGGCCAATGTCCCCGAAGCCCAATTCACAGGAAAAGAGCTTCAACTTGAGGCCAAATCCCACAACTGTACTAGATCAAATTCTATCCTCCCTGAATTTGCTGCACTTGTCAGCACCTAAGCTCCGGGCAGGTCGAGGGCTGGACCATCATTTCTAAAAGACCACGGCAGAAGTATTGTATGTATACCGGTCCAGTCAAAACCTCTGGACAGTTTAGAATATGCCTTCAGAGTACTCCTAGAATTCAGAGAATAATTAGAGCCCCCTCATGTGCAAAACAGCTCTCACCCAGCCAACTCTCATCAAAATTTAAAATGCCAATACCGGGCCTCCCCCGTGGCGCAGCGGTTGAGCGCTGGGTTGTGAAGCTGCCCGCAGCCTCTGCAGCGCCGGTTCCATCACCGGCTGCTCCGGGTCCCACATGGCGCGCAGACCTCTCCTGCCACCCGCTGCTCCCCTCAGCAGTGTACTTTGGTCCTTCTGCCTGCTCTGCTCCCCGCTCTGGCTCTGGTGAATTCTCTCACCCTCCCGTGCTTCAGACTGTACCCAGTGCTTGTATAAATAAATAAATAAATCTTTTTAAAAAAAAAAAAACTGCATGCCAAAGTGACACATCTTAATACATTTTAAAAAAAAAAGCCAATATCAACAAGTGCTGAAATCACCAAATCAGCAAAGAACTTTTTTTTAAATGCTTCTAGACACATCTTGCACACCCAACCCAGATGCCCTTTCCCCCAACCTCAGTAGGACAAAATGATCCTCAGCAGCAGAGACCTCCAAAGGTCTTTTCACTAAACCTTCGAGGGGACGTCTAACCCCTCAGAACTCACCCTGGTCACACACACACAGAAGTAAAATCAACAGATCACAAGAGGCCCCAGCCCCAAGACTTATCAGCTCTTTCTCCTGGAAGAGCAGACTGTGTTCTGGGTCCCACAAGACCCTCTATATCCAATTAAGCCATTTAACACAGGCAGTGTTTGTTCTCCTCTTAAACTCAAAAATGCCCTCATTGATTGAAAAAGCTGTCCCAATGCTATTGTCTTCAAAGCCTACTGCTGGGCCTACCTGGTGACACAGGGGTTAAAAATGTAAGTGCTATTAAACTATTACTGCAGTATGAGTTCAATCCTGGGCTAGGGAGATGACCCACATGGCGCAGCAGACCTCTCCTGTCTCGCCCACTGCTCCCCTCAGCAGTGTGTTTCAGTCAGTCTGCCTGTTCTGCTCCCCACTATCTCTGGTGAATCCTCTCACCCCTGGCACCTCTGGCTTACACCCCAGGTCTCGTATGCATAAATAAATAAAAGTAAATCTTGTGGGGAGAGGGAGCCCACTACAAAGGGAAGGAGAGCAGAACACTGTACCTTTGCATTGGCCTTGTCAACTCACCTCTGAGAACTTGCCGTCACCAAACCACTGGACCCATCGCATGCCAGACATGGCCTGACGCTTGGAGGTGACTTTCCAAGATACCACCATGGCAGGCCACCAGGAAAAGCCCTTGATCTTTCCCCACACAAGGTCCCCTATTCCAAACTCCTTCCCATCCTGGAAGAGAATCACATGAAGGAATCAGGTAGATCCAATGAGTCAGACCCCTGGGGCGAAAGGCAAACCCTTGCTCCTCTAACAGTTCAAGGCTTTGTATGGGCAGAGCTCCTTGGGAAAATAATTATCACTTTCAACTTCTCATGGTTCAAAAACTGAGGGCCTCCCTGGTGGTGCAAGGGTTAAGTTTAAGTCTCACTACGAAGCTATCTGCAGCCACTGCAGCATGTGTTAGATCCCTGTGCAGAGAGCTGCCCACATGGTGCAGCAGACCTCACATGTCTCACCCACTGCTCTCAGCAGTGTATTTCAGTAGATCTGCCTTTTCTGCTTCCCACTCTCCCTGGTGAATCCTCTCAATCCTGCACCTCTGTCTTATACCCCAGTTCTTGTATACATAAATAAATAAATCTTAAAAAAAAGATTTGTATCCATCAAGGCATGACTATGTTAAGACTTGTAATTCATTCAGCAGGTAACCCTGGGGCTTGAGTATTCCCTGGGAGGTAAGACAGGTCAAGGAATGCTGCAGCCCTGGGAAGTGGACATGGACAAACAAGTCAAGTGTCACAACCTAAGAGCAGCAATGCCTGGAGTGGCAGTCACTGCAGGGTCCACTTTCATCCCCTCTATTTGACCTTCCCAGTGGTACCTGATACTCGGTGCTGTCTGCATCTCGACCCTCTACGTCCACCTGTGGGGACTCCAGGCTTTCTGGCTGGCTGTCCTGGGCCAAGCGGGTGTATGGGGTGCTGCTGCTCTGGGGAACCACGTCGTCCTCTGTGAGATCGATGGTGAGGTAGGGGACAGAGGGGGACGGCCACGGTGTGCTTGCTGAGGACACTGTCCGTCGCCGCAGAGACTGTGGACGGAAGGATAGTGCTCGGACTCCAGCAACCCAACCCGATGGGTGACCAGACACGGGTAGCAGCCCTCAGCTGATTCCCGGGCAAGCAGAAACATTGAAGGCATAAGGTAGGACAGAGACCACACCAAGAGTGATTTGCAGGAACAAGGAACTGATGGAAAAAACAGTCTGTGGCAAAGGCACTATAACGGAGAGCAAGGTGGAGAGGAGCCAAGCCCAGCGAGGATCACTGGTTTCCTCCAGGGGTTCTGTGTTGTGTGCCCAACCTTGTAACAGCAGAGGAGGGTTGCTATGACTCTGGGGTCACCTCCAGACTAACCATGGAGACAATATAGCTCTGAACATCAAGTTGGAGCTCCTATCCAAGGAGGGTGAGAACCCAGTCAGAAGGGGATTCCCGCATCCCCACCACAGTTGGAGCCACGATGGGCCTGGCAAAAAGCACCAGGCTTCTGAGAAGTTCACCCAGGAGAGGACAGCAAGGCCCTAAGGAGGAAGAGTGTGGAGAAAGGACAGGTTATAGACTAGCCACTTGGGGTGGCAGAGAGTGAGGCAGACCTTCCCGACACCCTGAAAGTAGGAGCAGGGTCTGTGCATTCGGGGAACCAACCCTGGTGGTAGTTGATAACTCCACTGGGACTGGGGACTCATCCACGTGATGGCGGCCCTGCCGGCCTCGGGTGGAACGTGGGGAGGGCCTGTGCCTCTCCCAGCTGGAGGCACTGTTTCGGGTTCGGACCTGGAAGCAAGAGAGGATCAGCACGGGGTCTTCAGTGACTGGGGGTGCGGGGTCTTGGGCAGGGGGCTAAGAGGATGGCACTTGGTGGCACTTGAGAGGTAGCCAAGTAGGTGAGCCATCTGTACTAGTAAATTTCATGCCCAAACTCCCAGGTAATGGAATACTGGAGTTTGGGAGGGAGGCCAACAGGGCTGGCTGTGTATCTGGGCAAGGAGACTGTCTACAGTCTCCACATCAGACCCCACACTGCCTACTGAAGCTGAAGCTGGTACCTACAAATTGGATTGAAAAATGAAATCACGTTTACTGTGCACCAAACTTTTTATCCCAAAAAGAAGCATGAGGCCAATTGTGGACTTTTTCTGAAAGTAGTGGCATATTGAAGGAGACGCTCCTAACATTCTGTCTCAAAAATGGCATGAACTTTGGTGTTGCAGACCTGTGTTCGAACCTTACCTATGAAACCTCATGCTTAACCTGGGGTAGAGGTTATCAGAATCCTCTTCCGTCTATGCAGGGGGAGGATGCAAAGCCCAGGTGAGGAGACATTGTGAGCTGCACCTGAACAGGCGCCTGCTTCCTGCAGGGCCGAGTCAGAACAGGAACTGCCTTCTCAATTTCAGACCTCAGACTCAAGGATGGGATCACTCTAGAAGTATCTCCTGTGCCTCATTAGCCACTGAGACATCCACCTATCACCATAACCCTTGGGTATTTCCAAGAGTGTTCCCCAAAAAGTTTAAATCAACTCGTGGGCACGAAAACCTCCACAATGATATTCTTAAGCCTTGCTATCATTTTCCAATTTCAAAACATGTTTTTTTTCAATTTGACCCCAGGAGACCCAAGGCCTATTTTTTACGCAGGCCTCTGTGTGGCTGGAGTGCTAGGTTTTTTGTTTTTTTGGTTTTTTTTTGGAGGGGCAGGCAGGGGTGTGGTGACAACTTACAGCTGGGCTTTCAGATCGAGTCCTGGTTTCACGGAAAAGTTTTGGCATCACTGGAGTATCGGAGCCGTCTCCATCCTCCCCTTCATCTCCATCGCCCGTCAAATCCTTTACAAATGAAGCATTATAGGATGAAGTCCAGGCCATATAACTAATGCAAATGAAGCATGAAGTCAATGGTACTTTAAAAATTCGCGATATTGGTCCAAAGGACATAAAAATTTCAACTGCCTGATTTTTTGTTCCAGTAAGATTCTGCAGTCACGCACACCACAGGGTCACAGAATCCAGACATGACTGAGAAACTAAATGGAATCAAGAAACGGCAGGAGGGCCTCCCCGGTGGCGCAGCGGTTGAGCGCTGGGTTGCGAAGCTGCCCGCAGCCTCTGTGGTGCCGGTTCGATCCCCAGCTGCTCCCCGGCCACCGAAGGAGGGTCCCACATGGCGCGCAGACCTCTCCTGCTGCCCGCTGCTCCCCTCAGCAGTGTACTTTGGTCCTTCTGCCTGCTCTGCTCCCCGCTCTGGCTCTGGTGAATTCTCTCACCCTCCCGCGCTTCTGACTGTACCCAGTGCTTGTATAAACAAACAAACAAACAAACAAATAAATAAAACATGCCTCTATAAAAAAAAAAAAAAAAAAAGAAACGGCAGGAAAGCAAATGCCTACCTAGTGGGGGACCAGATCAATTGCCCCAATGAAGGGCCTGGGAGAAACCGTAGGCCAGCTGTCCCAAGGACACTTCCTGAGCCAACGACCAGGTAGAAATGGCAATGGTCGTGAGTCTAGTGGTTTAGATGCGGAGTGCAGGCCCTTTGCTGCACCAAACCTGCAACACCAGCACAAGAACTGCAGCAGGGCCTCCCCGGTGGCGCAGGGGGTTGAGCACAGCACTTTGAAGCTGTCCGCAGCCACTGCAGTGCTGGTTCAATTCCCGGTCGGCGAGGGAGATGCCCACATGGCACAGCAGACCTCTCCTGTCGCGCCCGCCGCTCCCCTCAGCAGTGCTTTCGGTCAGTCTGCCTGTTCTGCTCCCCGCCCTGTCTCTGTTGAATCCTCTCATTCTCCTGTGCCTCTGGCCTGTACCCCAGCTCTTGTATAAAAATAAATAAATCTTTAAAAAAAAAAAAAAAAAAAGAACTGCAACAGCACCAGCCTGCGGTCTCACTGGCATGTTACAACATTGAATTGGCACTTGTTAGTCATGGCCTTGACTGTGTGCATTCCTTTCTCTTTAAAATTGTAATGATACGGGCCTCCCTGTTGGGCCTCCCTGTTGGCGCAGGGGTCTGCAGCACAAGTTTGATCCCCAGCTGGCCAGGGAGGTGACCCACATGGTGCAGCAGACCTCTCCTTTCTCGCCTGCTGCTCCCCTCAGCAGTGTATTTCAGTAGATTAGCCTGTTCTGCTCCCCACTCTTATCTCTGGTGAATCTTCTTGACCTGCACCTGTGGGTGGCCTACACCCCAGATATTGGATTATGCATAAATAAAAATAAATATTTTCAAAAAAGAAAAATGTTTAAAAATATGCTTAGAGAATCTAGTAAAAAAAAAACTTCATAACTTACTAATAACTTTTTATGATATAAAAAAATTCTTCACATATATTAACAACAAATGCTCCCTAATGAGTTTGCTCAGGCCTGTGTGCCTGGCAGTGTTTAGATTCATCACTCAACGAGTACTTATTTATGGGTACTGTTTAGGTAAACCTCAGGGTCCCCATTAATGAACGTGGAAAATCCCCCTCAGCTCTGAAAAAGGCAGCATAGAGCCAGTACCTGAGTATAGCTTAGCAGGCTGGACACCTCCCTCTTAGACAGCCTTGAACTGGATCTTCGGCCTGTGGAAGAACTGAGTCTGTATTTCGAGGAAAGGACAGGGCAAGCAGCCAGGCTGGGCCGCAGCCACATCTTCCCTCGCTGACAGACTGGCTTCTCCCCAAATCCACCAGCATCCCAGGGATTTAACGCCTAGTCCCTCGTGCTGCAGCCCCCCATGCCTTCACAAGGCAGCAGGGTTCAGGGTCAGGCATGTATTAGGACCCAGAACAACACTCAAGTACAATGACAGCAGGCATCTGACTCTCCAGAACCTGCTGCCCATTCAGAATCCAGCAACCCTGTACTACACTTAAAAGAACAGCCGAATCTGCCGCATCCAGACACATTTCAAGTGCTCACGTGTGGCTAATGGCTATTATGGTGAACAATACAGACAAACACTTTCAAGCTTAGAGAAAGGTTCTAGTGGATGGCACAGCTCTAGAAGAGTTCTCAGCAACAGGCTTGGTCAATACAGGGGTTTCTGAACCGGATGGGGACAAAACCTCTGTAGGGAGAACCTGGGTGACCTGATGCAGTTAGTTAGGTGTCCAGGGATGGGGACAGGCAAGGAAGCAGTGTCAGTCCCAGGCTCCAGTGGAGAGAGGGGACCCACTGCAGAAGGGCATCAGACCCCCTGTCAACACCCCATCATTGCGTCTACAAATGTACAGGGGATCAGCAGCTCGGGATCACCTCCCCAGTGTCCAAACTGCGGGAAAGCACAGTAGGGAGGCCAGAGCCAGGGATGACAAATGGGTTTGGCTCTGTCTACACCCTCTTCCCTTCCCCAAGGAGGGAAGGTCAGAGCCAGGCCCTTTCCCCCAAACCTGCCTGAACTCCGCTAGGAGGTGCATGGTCTGCACAGGGACTGCCCACCCCTCCTCCCTACCGGGGCTGCCCACCCCTCCTCCACCTCTGATCTCCGGGGTGCTGATAGCCTCCAGGATGGGGGGCGAGGGAGCGTCCTTGGAGTCAGAGGACTGGTCGCTGCAGGCCCCGTTGGTGACGATGGAGTCTTCCCTCCCGCTGGCGTCCTCCTCTCCATTGAGTTGTCTGGTGTCTCCCTTCATTGTCTCCTGTGGGAGGGCCAGAGTGAGCAGGGCAGCAGGAACAAGGACAGGAGCGGACAGCACAGCCCCAAGCCCCCCATCCCGTGCTCTGTGTTCTCAAGCTGAGAGAAAACCCGTGACACATCCTCAGGGTGATCCTCCTGCCGAAGCACCCCAGGCACACTGTCCCCCACAGCCTGTCCCCCTGTCCCCCTCACCAAACTCGGAGGCTCGGGACTTGGTTCCATGTGGCCAGGCAGCCCGAAGGCTCAGGCGCTAGCACCCAGGACAGAGGAGGGGGCTGGGCCAGGGTCTGGGACTCCGGCTGCTCTCTGCAATTAGCCGGCCACTTCAAACAATGCCATTTAGAGCCCGCCTGCCCGGGCCTGCCTGCGCCCCGCTTGGTCCCCTCTACCCCTGGCCCCTCTCCCTGCCCAGACTCTGCAGGGCCTCAGGAAGCCAGTGCATTATTTTCCCTCCTGACCCCTTTGTTTGCTCTCCCTTCCCCTCAATCTCCAGGTCCTCTTCCCACCGCCCCCTCCTCCCCCACAGAACAGCTTCTCTCCTCTCCATGGCAGCACAAGCCCCGCCCCACAACAACCTCCAGGGCCCATTGGTCTGCTGGCCTGTCACTCACTCCCCTCCTCCCTCACCAGCTGGGGCTCAGAGTCCCAAGTTCCCAAGGATGGATGAGTACAGGCCAAGGACTGGGGCAGTTAACAAGCAAGGGGCACGCAGCAGCCTCACCCCCACCTCTGAACATTTGCCTCCCCACTGCTGCCCCTATCATCACTAGGCAAATCAGCCAAGACCAGCTTAGGCCACATCTTCACTGGGTGTTTCAAGTGGGACCCTTGACCTGGCCCAGTTCACAATATTTGTTGGCTGTAAGAACCTGCACCTTTCTCTCATTTATTCCTCTTAATGTAATTGTGATTTCCTTTTTAGAAAAGGAAAATTGGGGCCTCCCTGGTGGCACCATGGGTTAAGACGCAACCTTTGAAGCTATCCGCAGCCACAGCAGCATGAGTTCGATACCCAGCCAGGGAGCTACCCACATAGCGCAGCAGACCTCTCCTGACTCACCCGCTGCTCCCCTCAGCAGAGTATTTCAGTTGATCCGCCTGTTCTGTTCCCCTCTCTGGTGAATCCTCTCACCCTCCCACACCTCTGACCTGTATCTCAGTTCTTGTATGCATAAATAAATCTTTGAGGAAAAAAAAAAGGAAAGGAAAATTGACTCACATCGTTAGTCTCCAAGGCTAAATGTCCCATCTATGAGGGAGGGACCACGATGGGGTAGACCCCCAGTCAAACACCCAAGTACACATCAAGTTAAATAGCCCGGGTGGAGGGGGGCAGCAAACTCCAGAGGAAACCAGAATCCAGAATCCTAAGAGCAGCTAGTGTTCCTTTTGCTGCACTTCAGCTTGCCAAAACAGAACCTCAGTGGTATTGGGCAAGATCCCCGATTCCCACCCCTTAATTCTCCCTTTCCCCTACCAGTTCTAGAGGTCATTGGTCTCTTACCTTCCTATCCTGAAACCCTACTTGAAAAAGCTTCCCCAGTAGACCTACCTTCCCATGGCCCCCCATCTACCGGACTCACCCGTAGGTGTGGATGGCGTCCTTCTAGAAGCAGCACCTGGGGCTACAGGGATGGTGGGCTGCAGTGGGTGCTGGCGCCACGCACAGCAGAGGGCGCTGTGGAGCTCAATCCAAAGTGACCAGCAGCGCCCCCAGGTGGAAGTCATCTGTCACCTGGGGTCCTAGCTCCATCCTTTGCACGGTTTGTCCCTCAGGTTTGGGCACAGGGCAACTAGACAGAACGCTTTTCATTCCCAGTAGGGACCAGGACCATTGTCCTTGGATAAACTCAAATGCTAGTTAAAAGTGCTGAATCTCAAGCATCATTCTATGAGACCTACTGAATCAGGAGTGACAGTTTGCACAAAATCCCCAGGTAATTAATAAGCAAGTCTAAGTGTTCTGGTTATAAACATATCTGGATACAGAACACAAACATGGCTATGTGACGACCTCATATGGTCCAGGGTGTGCAAGGTCAAAGTTCCTGGTGTCTGTTTTCTCCTTGCATAGGTTAAGGAATCTTATCATCCTCAGGGGAAAGGGAGGAATGCCTGGCCCAGCCAGATTAGCTACTTCTCAGCCCCTTTAATGCACCAGTCCTGACCCGGAAGAACAGGCCAGCTGACCCACAGCCAGTTCCTGTGAGATCAAGTGGTCAGAATCCCAGGAAAACTGCTGGAGTGTGGTTCAGAGTAATTATTAATTCGCAGTGTGTTGCCTCAGGCCAAACTACTGAACTCAGTAACCTGGGTGCCTGGCTCAGGGAGGGGGGTACCAGGAGTGGACACCAGGAGGGTCCGTGGGGAGCTCTATGGAGGAGAGACAGATCTGTCAGAATCAGGTGGCAGGTCAGAGGCTGAAACTGAGGGGCATGCCTTCCCTTTCATCAGGGTTCCTCAGACAGACCATAACTGGGTCAACAAAAAGCCAGGCCAGAGTTTCCCTCTAGACAGCCCCAGGTGGAGCCTGCAGAACTGACATGAGACAATAATTAACTACCTAGGGCCTTCCCTGGGGCCTGAGCAGTGCCAACCTGCCCACCATCCCTCAGACCAGACTCTTGGGCAGAGCACCTCCCCACAGCTAGATCTCAGCCCTAAGGAACAATCTCCTGCGTCTAAGAGCCAGAGGCATTGGCCCTGGAGGAAGAGCCAGGGCAAGAAACCACCAGTACCAAGTGTCACTGGCTACCTGGGTGCCCTAGTAATATACTCCTTACAGTGACAACTTAGTATGCCATCTTGTGAAAACTGCTCTGTAGTTCTCACCACCCTGGGTCAGCAATATAATATTAACTGACCTACCACCTTCCTGACAAAACACAAGCAGCTTCCATTTAAGGATGACCAGCTCAGTTCCTTTTCCCTCACATTCTTCACAAATCAAACCAAGCCAGCTTCTGCGTATCTACCTGCTTGGTCTCCTCAGGCATCTCCCTACCACATGCTCCTCATTCCTCAGGCTTTAAAAACCATCTCTCAAAAGCCAGCGAGGCTTCTCTCACAGGCTCTCTGTGCCAAAAAGTACTAACCTGGCCCTCCCCATAGAGATATGGATCATAAATCCTCTAACATGATATGCCAGGTACTCTTCTGTGAGTCAACTTATATTAAAACATTTAATCCTTAAATGTAATAGAATTATTCGTACCTTACAGGAAGGTTAACCTGAAGCACAGACAGGTTAAGCAATGTCCTATTTGATCAACGTGACTCGTTAAATAAAGTGCTTAATCAAGTCCAGGGAAGTTAAAGCACCAATTTAACTACATGGTTTTGCTAACAGGAAGAAATTAGCAGGCCTCCCTGGTGGCGCAGGGGTTAAGATGAAACCTATGAAGAAATCCGCAGCCACTGAAGCACAAGTTCGATTCCTGGCCGGCCAGGGAGAAACCCACATGGTGGGACAGATCTCTCCTGTCTCTCCCGCTGCTCCCCTCAGCAGTGTACTTCGGTCCGTCTGCCTGTTCTATTCCCCACACTGTCTCTGGTGACTCCTCTCACCCACGCTTTGCATCTCTGACCTGTACCCCAATTCTTGTATAAAAATAAATGTTTAAAAAAAAAAAATCTGGGCCTCCCCTGGTGGCGCAGCGCTGGGCTGCAAGGCTGCCCGCAGCCTCTGTAGCGCCGGTTCGTTCCCCAGCTGCCGGCGAGGGTCCCACACAAAAAAAAAAAAAAAAGATTATAAATAAATAAATAAAAATAAAAAAATAAATCTTTCCCACCTCTTATGTCTTTGGCCTCCAGTGACTCAAGGGTGGTCCCCAACACAAGCTGACTGCGTTATCTTCTGTTATCCCACAGTGATCCCACCAGTGCTGGAGAATATGGTTGGGCTACCTCCCTCAACAGGTAGCACACCTTGCGCTAAGGGATTTTCCCAGAGTGGCCAGCATAGTGGCTTTAGACCAGTACCTTGCCATGCAAATGCTGTCTAACTTCCCAGGTCACTACTGTAAGCTCAACATCTCAACCACCACCCCATCCCGAGGCAGGTCCTATTATCAACCTGCTCTCAACAGGCCTTGATGAATTAAGTCACCCAACAAAGTGGCAGTGCCAAGACACATGCCCAGGCAGTTGGGGCACGTGCCTGTAGCTGCTGTGCTTGAGAGAAAGCAGAGAATTATAAAGGTTAGAACCATGCATCATCCTTCCTGGGGGGCAACCAGAGCTTTTAGGCTGAGGAACTTGCTCCACCAGCTAAGTGTTTACCTTCACAGGAGATGGCAGTGTAACCTTGTGAGGGGTGAACTGTGACCCATTCCCAGAGGCTAGGGTCCAGCACGTGATTCTGAGGTGGCCAGTCCTGCAGGATGGGCCCATCCCTGTAAGGCCCTGCCTCATTAGTGCAGGGCGTTCATGTCCACACTGAACCAGGTCAGATGTGCTCAGATGCAATGTGGCATAAGGGTGGGTGGTACACCCCCAATGAGGCTCAGGGAGAAGGTTCAGGGACTCCCTCCTCCATGCAACAATAAAACTGAGAAGTGAGGTCATTCATTTCCTCAGGGCTGGCAGCAGCCACAGAACCATTTTCACAGACCTTGTAAATGTTAATTGCATTAATTAAACTCACAATGCAGTAGGGGAGGTTGTGGGATCTGGGAGGGAAGGGGGTGGTGGGGCACCTTGGCATCCCTGCAGACAAGCCCCAGGGCTTAGAGACTTGATGCTGTAAAAAAAAAAAAGGGAGAGTTTGAAAGCTATTCCCACATCCCCATTTTAAAAAAAATTCCTTCCCCACAGCCTGGGGGAGGGAAATCTGGACGCCTGAACCCTCCCCTTAAACTGTGTACGGTTCTTACCACTGTGCAAGATTCCAAAATAGCCAAGATGGAGCGTTTACTATGTACCTCACCCAAAAAAAAAAAAAAAAAAAAAAGCTACTGCTATGATCCACATTCTACAGATGAGTAAACTCAAGTTCAGAAAGATGTAGATGAATGAGCGAACCCCTCCCCCAGATTCATATACTACTGAGAATGAGATTTAGGTCCAAGGCAGGAGACAGGGCCAAAGACATCTCAACAATCCAGTAAGTACAGTTACAACAATCAAGCAAGTGAGCAGACGAGTATATACAGATGTTGACAAATGTCTGTACACCTGGAACCTATGTTATAAACCAGTGTTACTTCAATTTCAAAAATTGGTATTTAGCCAGTCTGTAGGTCTTTGGTAAGTGCACAAGAATACAGGCTAAGCATAGACAGATCTAAAACTTTTGGGATTTAAGCCCTGAATAGAAGTGGCTCTGGATTTACTAGAAAAAACAATTTAAATTCCTTTAATTTTATTTTTTAAGTCAAGCCCGGGAGGGTCACCTCACCCAGGTGAGTGAAGGAGGGGAGGTGCCCAGCACAGAGACAAGGAGGCCAGAAATGGGCCACACCTGGCTAGTGGCAGAGCACAACTGAGTGCCTGCACCTGATAAGGAATCTCCACTAAATTCCAGAAAAGATCAGATTTACAAGAAAAAGCCCTCAGTTTTTCTCAAACTTCTGTTACATCATCTTTGAAATTAAGTGGCCCAATCTAATTTACTGGGAGCCAAGAATCTCAAAATAGATGAAAAAACCCTGAGAACTTGAGATTCCACATTCTCATGTGCCATCTTGCCACCCTTCTGGTTCTGCCTTCACCCTGGAAGCCCCAGAAGGCATTGCTCAGCCTAGAGTCATGTCCACAGGCACCACTGTGGCCGGATGGCAAAAGCTAAGCCCAGGCATGTTTACCAGAATTATCATGAGAATGAATCCAAGTAGGGGTCAAATTGGACAACTGGAAAAGTTGGCTCTGAGGATATTCCTTGCAGTATTATCCTAGCAATTGATACATAATAGCAAAAAATAGGTGGTTTTCAGTGGATATGAATAAAACTGTACTGCTACCATTTGGATGACTCACGGAGGGTAGGGGGCCCTACAGGCAATAGAGAAGAACCTAAAAATGTTTGAACTCAGAGTTCAAACTTTTTAAAATAACTTTTGTAAATAAAATGCCCCTCCCCCTACAACCTATTTGGGAAACCCTTAATTGTGTGCAAATGTGGAGAAAGAAGACAATGGTCGCTCAGAGTGAGGGAAGGGACAGTGTAAGCAGAGGAAACTGACATGCCTACTTGCTTTTTTTCTTCTTTTTTTCAAAAGATTTATTTATTTATTTATTTATTTATTTATTTATTTATTTATTTATTTATACAAGCACTGGGTACAGTCAGAAGCGCGGGAGGGTGGGAGAATTCACCAGAGCCAGAGCGGGGAGCAGAGCAGGCAGCAGGACCGAAGTACACTGCTGAGGGGAGCAGCGGGCAGCAGGAGAGGTCTGCACGCCATGTGGGACCCGCCCCGGTGGCCGGGAGCAGCCGGGGATCGAACCGGTGCTGCAGAGGCTGCAGGCAACTTCACAACCCAGCACTCAACCGCTGCACCACCGGGGAGGCCCTGACATGCCTACTTGTGCCACCATTTGCCCCTTGTTAAGACCAGAGCTAGTCTTTGCCCTTTCCCAAAGGCTCAGGGAAAAAAAAAAAAAACCGGCTGCCCAGTCTGTGTCCCCCAAAATAAACTGTACCTTTGCTACAGCCAAAGCCTTAAATCTCACACTAATTACTGGTGAGTAATTACTGAGTCAAGATGGTATACACTTAACGTATATGATTTAATACATTAAGTGCATACCCTATTTCACGGGATTCTATTGCTAGGAATCGACCCAGCCCAAAGCTCTCACCAAGACCCACGTGCAAGGCTGGTTATCAGGCTATCCTGTTTGTCTGAGCAAAAACTGCAAGCAAGGGCCTCCCTGGCACAAGGGCTTAAGCATCAGCACGATGAAGCTGTTCACAGCCACTGCTGCACGAGTTCGATCCCAGGCGAGGGAGGTGACCCATCTGGAGCAGCAGACCTCTCCTGTCTTACCCGCTGCTCCCCTCAGCAGTGTATTTCAGTACATTTGCCTGTTCTGCTCCCCACTGTCTCTGGTGAATCCTTTCACCCCCACATTTCTGGCCTGCACCTCAGCTCTTGTATGCATAAATAAATTTTAAAAAAGAAAAGACACCTGGGGCCTCCCCGGTGGCGCAGCGGTTGAGCGCTGGGTTGCGAAGCTGCCGGCGACCTCTGCGGTGGTTTGATCCCCAGCTGCTCCCCGGCCACCGGAGGAGGGTCCCACATGGCGCGCAGACCTCTCCTGCCACCCGCTGCTCCCCTCAGCAGTGTACTTCGGTCCTTCTGCCTGCTCTGCTCCCCGCTCTGGCTCTGGTGAATTCTCTCGCCCTCCCGCGCTTCTGACTATACCCAGTGCATGTATAAACAAAACAAACAAACAAACAAATAAATAAATAAATAAACATGCCTCTATAAATAAAAAAAAAAATGTGTTTTTAAAAAAAAAAAAAAGAAAAGACACCTGTGAGTATGTCCTATACTGCATATTTTGTGATGTTCCTTTCATTTGTGGAATGTTTGACTTCACTTTTCTTTGTGGTATTTGTCTCTTTCCAACACCTGCAATCACCTCAGCTTTATAGTGGGTACTCATATGCCTGCTAGGGCAAGGCTGCCAGCCTCATTGTAAAACTTGCTCAATTTCTGCTTTAAAGGTGTTGAACAGGGCCTCCCTGGTGGTGCAAGAGGTTAAGACGCAACCAATGAAGCTATTCGCAGCCACTGCAGCACAAGTTCCATCCCCAGCTAGGGAGATACCCACATGGCGCAGCAGACCTTTCAGTCAATCTGCCTGTTCTGTTCCCCACTACGTCTCTGGTGAATCCTCTCACCTCCCACCACACCTCCGGCCTGTACCCCAGTTCTTGTATGCATAAATAAATCTTTAAAAAAAAATAAAGGTGTTGAACAGCCCTTAGTTCCTGTCCCCAAGTCTAAGTTCCCTCTCCTGGCCCCTAGATTGAGAAAACTTAGCCTCTGCACAAACCAATTTGCATAGCCTTTCTGATTGTTTCTTTCAATATGGGAGGCCTTTCAGACTATCTGCACCATAATCAGAAAATAAATCCCTGTAAATTACTTATATTAAAGAAAGACAAAATTGTCACACACACAAAGAAAAACTAGGTGGTGAAAACTTGCTGTTATAAATACATTCTGGTGATGTAATGCAAAGCATAGGGACTATAGTTAGCAAAACTGTATTGTATTATATATTTGGAAGTTGCTAAAAGAGTGCACCTTAAAAATCATCATGAGGGCAAAAAGTGTAACTATGGAGCCTCCCCTGGTGGCACAGGGGTTGAGTGCTGGGCTGCGAAGCTGCCCGCAGCCTTGGCAATGCCGGTTCGATCCCCGGCCACTGGCGAGGGTCCCACATGGTGGGCAAACCTCTCCTGCCACCCGCTGCTCCCCTCCCTCAGCAGTGTATTTCGCCGGGTCTGCCTGTTCTGTTCCCTGCTCTGTCTCTGGTGAATCCTCTCGCCCTCCTGTGCTTTTGACTGTACCCAGTGCTTGTATAAATAAATAAATAAATCTTAAAAAAAAAGTTTAACTATGAAGTGATGCTAACTAACCTTATAGGGGTAATCATTTTACAATCTATACACATATCAAATTATTATGTAAGAAATATGGGCCATCTGCTAGGCCTGTGTTCTATCCCCAGCCAGGGAGTAAACCCACACATGGCACAGCAGACCTCTCCAGACTCACCCACTGCTCCCCTTAATGTAACTCAATAGCTCTGCCTGCCCCACTCCCTAGTCTGTCTCTGGTGAATCCCTTCACACACACACCCCACACCTCTGGCCTACACTCCACTTCTATGCAAAACATATATATGTTATACACCTTGGACTAATACAATGTTATATCAACTATAGCTCAAAATGGGCAAAGAAAAAACCACCCTTGTTATAATCACAGCAAAAGGTTGGTTATAGGCATACAGATAAGGTAATTACATACTGTAATTGGCTTTTAAAGCAGTCCTTATCCCCCAAGAACCATTTTTTTAAAAAACTAGCCACTATTACCTGATACGATTTGGAGGTCAAAGCATCAGCACAGACAGGTACTCCATGGCAGCACATCTGTGCATCCTGCCAGTTCTGCAGCTCAGCCAGGTGGAGGCAAAGGTGTCAAACAAATCTAACAAGGTTTCAATTTAGATTCCACATCTTGCTAGTTGTGTGACCTTAGGTTATGGTGACAATCATTTCAGATTGAGTATTTACTCCACTCACAGTTCAACATCTAACATTCTAGGATAGACCAGACACCAGGAAAGGGCACTCATCCATTCATCAGCCACGAGTTTCTGCTGTTCCAGAAACCATGCTCACAACGTGAGAATCATCATAAGTAGGCAAAGGCTCATGGGGCTGCCAGTTGGTTGGTGCAGGGTGGTAGAGAAAGCTAGGAAACTAAGTCCCCTTGCACCTCTGATCAGCGGATAGAACAATACAGATTCACCCCATGAACCTAGGCTACAGATACACTCCAGATACAACCCCCTCCTTGCCAAAAATTTTAGAGCTAAGATATGTTTCATCCATACCTCTATGCACATTTGCTCAGAATCCTCCAAATCCTGTCATCCAGTTTGCACATCGCTCCCCATGTAACCAGCCCTCACAAAGCTCATCAACAGTGCCGCTAGTTCAGACGTACAGTCTAGCTCACCCTCCATTCCTCAGCATTTCTCACCGCTTCCCTGATAAGCAGGATTCCTGCTTGATCTCTTGGTTCCAACATCGCAGCATCGTGAACCTGCTTTGCTGCTGTAGGCCAGTGGCACTGTGTTGCCTGGGGAACACGAACACCAAACCTGAAATCACCATCCCTTCTCCCGGAGCTGGAATCCAGAAGCCTGGGTTCTAGCCCCAGCTGTGGCCAGCATGCCCACTTGCAAGAGGAAGTAAATGCAACTGGAAACACATGCTGCTTAGGAAGAGGCCCAAGTAAACTCAGAAGGTGCAGCTGTAGGGATGGATAGAAGAGCAATACGAGGGCCTTCCTGGTGGCGCAAGAAGTAGTCTCAGTACTATGATGCTATCCACAGCCACTGCAACACAGGAGTTCTATCCCCCAGCCAGGGAACTAGCCTACATATGGCGCAGCAGACCTCTCTCCTCAGCAGTGTATTTCAGTCAGTCTGCCTGTTCTGTTCCCCACTGGTGAATCCTCTCATACCCTGCCACTACACCTCTGGCCTACACCCCAGTTCTTACATGCATAAGTAAATCTTAAAAAAAATTACAACATAACAGGAATAAAAAAAAAACAAAGGAAATGACCCAAGAATTTATTCCTCAAACTTAGGATAGGAGCCCCCAACCATGTCAAGGCCACCTCCTCCAGCTGCACTTCCTCAACACACCTGGTATCATCATCCATCCCAAAAAGAAAAGTCCCAAAATGAAGAGGTTTCTTGACTAGCTTTCTCCTACTAACAACCATTTCTCTCTCCCACTCGGTCATTCTTTGGAAATACTTCTCTAATTTCCTGTTCATAATCTTCAATAGCTACCGCTCACCCATACATTTCAAAGGTTGTATTAGATCTGGGAAAATTAAGTTTGATTGATACCTTAGCCACAAAACTGGTTAAGCAAAGAGAATGGGGAGAAAGGAGTAGGGAGAAATCATAGCTCTTATCTTATGAATGAAAATCTCTGGGTGAAGGGACTTGGGTAACTTGATCAGGCAGGCTGATGAAAGAACAAAAGAAACCAACAGTTACAGACCCCAAGGAAGTGCTTCCCAAAATAGTGGTCAGTTTGGGAAGGCAACACTAACAGGCAAGCCCTCTTAGCAGGAACCGAGACACCACTTCTCACCAACTTGTAAGAACTGGGTTTAGTGCCTTGGCTTAGAAGAAACTGACACCCCAAAATGAAAGCAAAACATCAATTACCTTGGGTTTGAGGTTACAGGTGATGACTAATTTCTTCTCAGCATCTGAAAATGGTAATTTGATTTTCATTCATAGCAAACACATTATTTGTCATTGGGGAGTAGAGAATATTCCAATTCCCCACACAGGTCCTCCTTATTCTTTTGCTTATTCCCTGGAAAAAACTCAGGAATACTAACCAGGATTACATTTCTCTAGTAAAGCAAGTAACTGTAGCCATTGTCGCGTTCTTACTATCTAACACTTCACACTTATTGAATCCTCAAGAGTTTGACATATAGCAAATGAATTGATTAAAACTTCAACTCCCCCTGGAAATGGTCCTATTTTACAGATGGAACAACAGAAGCTCAAGCTAGTGAAGGGAACAGAATAGTAAATCCAGGTTTTAATCCAAAGCCCAGGCCGTTTTAGTAAATTGCACAGAAGTATAACTTGACGTAAGGGATTAAGGCTTCCACCTAATATATTTTGTGAATAAACAGCTAAGGCTTGCTCAAGCTCAAAGGCCCCTGGATTCCATTAGCACTCCTAGCAAAGATACTGAGCAGGTAGGTGTGCTTCACACCTGGGAAGGTAATCCTCCACAGCAGCCTCGCCCATGCTGCCCCACTGGTCACCAGGCCATTTCCTCCTGTCAGAGCCAGGCACACCTAACACCAGCACTGGGATCTTTCCCATGTGAAAGGCATGATTCTTCCGTGGGATGCTGGCAGATGCAAGACAGTGTTCTGGAAAGCGCCAACCATGATGTGAATGTAAACTGTTCCATAAGGAACAAAAGGAGGCAGTGAGAAGCCCTGCTTCTGCCCCCACCCCAAACGGATAAACCAGACCACAGACTACAAAGTAATCTGCTCCAGTCTTGGTCCCCCCAAGAAACAAAAACTCACCCTGAATTCATTATCTTTAAAGCTTTGCTCTACACAAGAATATGCCGCAGCTGAGGTCCTATACCCAAAGACTGGGCGTGGGGGCAGGTGCCAAGGTGTTGACCTGGGAACCCTCTCAGATGATACTGGAAAAGGTGGCATAGCATGGGGGCAGGTCTGAAACAAAGGAACCCCAAGTTTTCCTGGAAGAACTCCGCCAAACCCCCTTGGGAAGCAGGTCCTGGGGTTGCCATGAGGGGTGACTGGTACCTCTAGGTCACAGGCCCTACAGGGCTGGAGGAAGGGAAGGGGAGTAGCCTCCCCTACCCCACCTCTACTGCTCCTCCCCCCTAAGCCCTCCCCCGCTGGCAGCTCCCAGATCTCTCCTCCCCTCCCCTTCTTCCTACTTTGCAGGGGGTCAGGTTATGCCTATGGCTTTAAGAACAGGATGCTGCCAGCCCCAGTCCTGGCCCCTTTGTCTCAGCTCTCTCCACCCCAACAGGGCTAGGTAAAGGATCTCAGTTATGCAATTACACCTTCAAGGTAGGCCCCAACATGGGGGAGGGAGTGGTAGTGGAAATATATATCTATATATGGCCCCAACCCTTAAAAAGCAATGATTCCTTTCAAAAGGGAACAAAGGCGTTCCTTCCTGCCAACTCCCTAACACAGGACAATGATTTGGAAAAGATTTCATAAGAGGACTACAGTGCTTGATAAGGGAAGGCAGGAAAAGGAGGGACAGGAGGAGCTTCCCCTCATCCCCAGTCCTCACTAATGGTCACTCTGAAAAGAAGCTATTGGTTAATATAGAAATCAACAGTCATCACCTGCTGACCGCGTGTGTTTGTGTGAAATCCCAGGGTGTCCTTACCTGAGCCCACTGAGGTAGGCGTCACTATGTCCATGAGACATCTGAGGAACATGCAGAGAAGTGGTTTCATTCAAACACAACCTGGGGATTCTTAGGATGGTCCCTACACTTCACGGATGTAGTAACAGGCGGAAACAATCCAGTTGCTAGGACCAACTAAAAAACGTGCCAAAGCCCCTTAAGCAGGGCAGCCTGCTTAGCACACATGTTAGGTCTTTTTATGGAGGGGGAGTTACTGTATACCAGCCTACAAAATAGGGGCCAAGGTGTTATCTCTGGGGAGGCGGGGTGAGTCAATTTGCACCTGGGATTCCACTAGCTGGGAAGAAGCTGCAGCAGGCCTGGTGGAGGAGGGCAAAGCCAAGTCGCCACCCACCCCACCCCTTGCCCCCCACCCCAGTGAGGACCTAGCAGGAATCTGCCTCCCCAAAATAATTCCACCAGTCCGCCAAAAACCCACAGCATCCAGAAATCAGGAGCCGGTTCAAAGTTCATACTGCCCTTAATTCCCTTTAATTCGCACACCTCTCAGCTTGGGGGATGGGGAAGCACAGCGCTCAGCCTCCCAGCACAGCAGGTTATAAGGGAAGCAGGGAAGCTGGAAGCACAGCCCCGGCCCGGCCCAGAGGTCTGGCAGCCCTTTCCTGCCACACGTGAACGACTCCGGTAGGGAAACCTGGGCCGAGAGCAGGTCGGTGTTAAATCCACACTCTTTTTCCCGCCGTACACGTTCTCCTGTGAAGTGAGACTCAACACCCACCGTCCCTCCGCAGAGTGCACGAAACCGGTCTTGTAAGGGGGGTATCGCGGCTTTCGAGGGCTCAGTTTGCTAGTCTGGGAAGTGGGACTAGCCTCAGCCCAGAAGGGCAAAATGGAAAGTGAGTCCCCAGGGCAAACAGCGTGGCCGGGGCTGGAGGCCCCACCCGGGGCCGGCTCCTCCCCGGCCAGGTGTGCACAGCCAGGGGCGGCCCCTCCCGTCTGCGTCCCCGCAGCCCCGCTGCGCCCGACCCCCGGCGTCTCTCCCACGGGGACCCCGTGAGTCCCCCTGTAGCGCACGCCCCCACCCCGACATGTGCGCACACCCAGGCCCACCTGCACGCGCGCACCCGCACCCACCACACCGGGAAAAAGAAAAAACGGTCCCGCGGGTGAATCCCCCATATCCAAATCCTCAGGGACGGAGGCACTTTCCTCTCCGCCCCCTCACCGTTAAGTGGGGGGGGTCCCCTCTCAAGTCGAGCGAGGTAAGGCTATCCCTATCCCTCCCTCCCCGCGAGCAAGGTGCCTCCGCGCCCCACGTCGCCCGGGAGGGCACCCCTCTCGCCGCTAGCCCCCGGGAAGGCCGCCGGCCGCTCCGCGGGAAGTTGCCGCTCCCCTAGGAGCCCGGGAGCCCGGCCGGGGCGTCCCACTAGTCTCCCTGGGAGACGCGCGCCCACCCCCATTCATGTACTTCTCGCCGCTCCCCAAGTGGCCAGGGGACCTCTCCTCCCCGAGCACGTCTGGTCTCCAGCCCGACGGGAGCCGCCTCCCCGGGAGGTCCGCGGAGAGTCCCTCCCCGCAGCCCCGGGACGCCCCCTCCGTCCCTCCCCTCCGGCCCCCGAGCCCAGGCGCGCCAGCCTCCCCGCGGCCCCGGGCGCTCACCTGCCGAGAGCCTGGCTCGGGCGCGGCCCCGCGGTCGAGCCGCGGGTCGGGACAGGCTGGCGGGCGGCGGGCGGGCGGCCGCGCAGGGCGCTGGGCTCGCGAATCTCCGGCGCCGATCGCCGCGCTACGTTTACTTGGTCCACTTAACCCCCGCGCTGCCGGCGGGGCGCGGCCGCCCGCTCGTCGGCCTGCCAGCGGGCCGGTGGCGTCCGTCGGGGGGCGCTCGGGGCGTCCACGCGGGCTGCGGCCGCGGGACGGGGCAGCGCTGCAGCGAGGAGGAGGCGCGGGCCGGACGGGGCAGCAGCAGAGGGTGGGCAGGGGGCGGTGCCGAGTCCCCTTGTAACCCCGGCCCCGCACTCGCCCCGCCCCCGTCCGGGGGCGCCCCCGCCGCAGCCACTCAGAGCCGGCCCCGGGCGCGGGAGGGGGCGCGGGGGGAGGGGACGAGGGAAATTTGAAATCAGCCCGGAGCCTCCCCTCCGCCCCTCCTCCACAGGCGCCGCCCACAGCCCCCCCGCGCCTGTTAAATCACCCACCCGCGTAACCGACCCCACTGGGGATCCCGCGAACATCCCCCCACGCCCGAAACCCCCTGCGGCCCCCTTCTCCTGCCCCCTACTCCGAGTAAATAAACAAATGCGCAGGTCTGGAGGCGGGGATCCAGAGAGGGACGCGCCCAAGCTGGAGTCACACAGCAACTGAATGTCCCCTGATCCCCACTGCTCGTCGCGAGGCCGCCCCCAGTCATCGGGCTCTGCACCTCTGGACCCCAGGACTAGCCCTTCCTCCCACCATGCTCGGCTTTTGTCAGCCATCTTGAGGCCAGGGGAGCCACGGGAGAGCAGACTCGAGGCGCTCAGGGCTGCCTGGGTTATAGGATGGGTCAGGGAGGCCTGGACCAGCGGAAGGTGAAGCGCCCCTGTTAGCAGGACTCGCTGCCTCTGCCCTTAAAGGGACATTGAGCTATTGGAAAGCAGCACGTCCTAGTCGTTGTGGTGCTGTGCCTGGTATTTCTACTTGTACTTTGCTTATCTGTTTATTGTTGTTGTTAGTCTACACACATTACAATGTGAGGGTTTCAGTGTGTCCTAGCGCACAGTAGATGCGCAGTGTGTGCTGAATGAATGAAAGCACAAAAGAACGAGGACATGATGGCCTACAACACGCTTCCCTCCTCTTTGCTGTTCCTCAATCAATCAAGCTTATTTCTGGACATTTTTTGCATGATGGACAACTCACAATTCTCCCCCCAATAGTCACCTGCTGGAGAGTTTTTCTGACCAGGTCACCTAAAATCTCTGCTCTCCTTCACTCCTCTTTCTCTGTAGCATTTAGAGCTATTTGAATTTGTTTTGCATATCTCCTTGTTTTGCATCTTTCTGTTTCTGGTTCTTGTTACACACGCGCGCACACACACACACACAAGACTCCACTCCATGAGGGCAGAAGCCTCATCTGTCCATCTGGTTCTAAGTTGTATTTCCAGGGCCCAGGCGAGGAGTTCAGTATAAAGTTGTTGAATGAATGAATGAGCACAGATTTCCTGCCTCCTGGGCTCCAGCTCTCTGAGTAAAACCAAACCACAGCTTTCTTCATTGATTTCATACCAGGTATTTGCAAATAAGTAAGCAGCAAATTCTCTGGAAGCTCCAAATGTTTTCAAACTTACATGATCTTGTTCTCGCTAGAATGCCAGGAGAGACTAAATGAAATGGACTGCACTGGCAATCAGGGGGGCCTCATGAGAAAGAGTCACAGGAACTTCTGGGCCTCTGGTGCAAATATTCAAAATCGGGCTCCAGACAGTTGGGACAGGAAGAAGAGGATCTCATAAGAGGACCTGTGGCTTATCACCACCATCTGGAGTATTTCTTTACAGGAAAGAAAACATATGAGCTGGTGGTCCTGACAAAGGCTGCAGCCGTGTTTTCTGATCCATAAGCAGACCCTGCTCTCTGGCAAAGGATGACTGAGCCACCAGCTAGAATGTCTGGGAGGCCTACTTAAGATGCCAAAGGGGGCCTCCCTCCCCGGCCACCAGCAAGGGTCCCACCAAAAAAAAAAAAAAAAAAAAAAAAAGATGCCAAAGGGCTGCGTTTTATTGGATGGCAGATATTGGGGCTGGGGAGAGGGCAGCAAATCACCTAAATCCGGGAAGAAGAAATGAAAGTCTGAACAGGGGAAGGTTCTCAGTCCTGTCACTTGGAAAGGAGGCTGAACACCAGAAGGAGTGAAAGGAAAAGAGTGTGGTGTCTCTCCAGGGCACGTAACTTCCTAGTTGGCAAAGATCACTGGTCATATTCCTGCCTCATTTGAACCTGACAATCACCTAAAGAGTCAGGGTGTTAAGAAGAGGGGACCAGATAGGGGGACTGAGGCTCAGAGATGAAAGAGACTTCTCTCTCTGCAAAGAACGCCAGCCATGCAGCCTGACCTTGACTGAACACCTGCACCAGAGCAGACTGGCTCCTGACTAGGAATTCAGACAGAAAGGCCCAGAGACAACAAGTAAGAAAACATCAGGTGTGGATAACTGCCTGGAAGAAGCTAAAATGGAGGCTGGAATACTAGGAAGAGAGAAAGACCCAGAGCATGGGGTAGGAGGGGCAGAGGAGGTAGAAAGAAGAGAGTGGGCTTGGGATAGATGTGGGAATTAAGTGGTCCTGATGGCTCTTCCTGAAGGGAAGAGGGCATCACCGTGATCCTGAGGATTCTAGCCTGAGCACCTGGGGGATGGGCCTGCCTTCTTCTAGATGAGGAGGGTTTGTAGAATGTGGATTTGGAGGGGAGCTTTGTAGGCCTGTCTTGGCCACATGAATGTGGAGGGGGATGGGCCAGAGGCGGGGTTTTCACCAGACACTGTGGTTTGAATCTCATCTCCAAGATGGCACAAACCTACTAAATCACCTACCTGGTCTCTCTGAGCTTGTGTCCTCAGCCACAGAAAGAGAATGTTTCATGGAATTGTGAATAAATTTAAAGGAAAACCTTGATGCTGGAAGGCCTAATTGAGCAGATCAGGCTCTGCGCCAAAGGACATTTTTTTGTGAAAGATTTTGCTTTTCGGGGCTTCCCCGGTGGCGCAGCGGTTGAGCTCTGGGTTGCGAAGCTGCCCGCAGCCTCTGCAGCGCCGGTTCGATCCCCGGCTTCTCCCCGGCCACCAGAGGAGGGTCCCATGTGGCGCGCAGACCTCTCCTGCCGCCCGCTGTTCCCCTCAGCAGTGTACCTCAGTCTGCCTGCTCTGCTCCCCGCTCTGGCTTTGGTGAATTCTCTCACCCTCCCGCGCTTCTGACTGTTCCCAGTGCTTGTATAAATAAATAAAAATAAATCTTAAAAAAAAAAAAAAGATTTTGCTTTTCGATGGTTAAAAATGGGGATAGGTAGAGAGATGGAGAGAGGCAGTGGAGAACTGGAAAGTTAGCAAGGGATCTCTTGTTTCCAAGGTGATTTCAAACCCTCCTCTGGTTGCATACAAATGCAAAAGAGTTTACTTAAAAAGTTATATAACAGATCACAACCATTATAATCATGGTGGTAATCAATGTTTACCAAGGAAACAACAAAATAACAAGAAGTATGATTAGAGGTCATTTGCTTCTACAAAAAAAAAAAAAAAGGCATAGGTAACAGAATATTCTTGCTCTGAGGAAATAAACCCTGAAGTATTTAAGGGCAAAGGAGCACAATGTTATCAATTTGCCCTTAAATGCTTCAGGGAAAAAAAAA